AGCGAAAAGGTAGTACTAACGCAATTTGATCTTCATCACTTTTATCACAGACTTGCGCAGCGTGGTGATGTTGTCCAGAGTTGCTAAATTGAATTCCCGCGCAGTATCTTGACAAAGCGTTCGTAGACAGGAAGAATTAAGTCAACAATATTGTCATACTGTGAGAAATGACGAAGAAATGTCTGAAGCCGTCAATGTCGTCTCTACGGAGTTCCGATGTGAGCATGTGAAGTGCAGCAAAGCTCGTGCGAAAATGAACGATTTATTTTTGTTTTATAAATCGATGCGCTTTTGTGACAATTGACAACGACATGCACTGTCAATTGTCATGGTGAAGCAGTTTTTGAAATTTTCGAAAAAAGTAATTTTCGGCGGCCAGCTAGTTTCTATATTCGGAAATAATAAATGTCGGACGCCAAAGAGGTTCTATGTCATTCAATGTTTCATCAGTTTATATATGAGTGGAAAGCATTTGATAATTATTTCATTCACATACATTTCACAGCATTTCATCCAACATAGACCTTCTCCAGATTGCCTCATAGATGGAATTTTGCCCCATATGTTCATGCACAAATTTTTTAATGTACATAAGTATATAAGATTAATAATAGTGTTTAAAATTTATTAGGCAATGTAGCTGACAGCAGAGTCCAGCGTTCGTAACCCAGTCAGAGGTCTTAAAACTATTTTTAGGGTATGATTGAACTAACACATATTATGTAACGATTTCTTTTTTTTAAATAATATTAGCAGTGTGTTAAAAACTAACAATATTTTCTTTTGCCACTCCAAATAACCTTAACTAAAAAATATGTGCACTCTTTGGTTTCGTAATCCATAGGTTTCTGATGTTTCATATAAACATAATAACGTTCATCATCACCATAATTACGCCTGTCACAAATCACGATACTAAGCCACCTGTATCCATTGACCTTCGACATGTCCTCGGATCGTCATTCCACCTAGTAGTTTTTTGTTTAATGGATATTAAAAAGCCTGTTATTTTTTTTTTTGAAATAGATCGGTTAAGCCGTTTAAAAGTTATACCAAAAAAAGTTTTTCAAAATTTTTATTTTTGAGATTACTCTAAATCTAATCGTCCGAATGAGTTCATATTATCACCAAATCTATTCTACATTGAGATCTGTAGAACGCCTCTTCTGTTCATCGCCGCATCTCAATCGATCAAGACGTTCAAAAGTTATGAAACGTTTACATACACATACGTACATACATCCGTACGGACGTCTACGTGAAGTTAGTCAGAATAGCTTCCTGGTATCTCAAAACGTCGAGATCTGATGAAAACTCGATTGTCGAAAATCGGGGTGAAGCCAATAACTTCCCTGTTTTTGAAAATTTACAATTTTCTTAGCGGGAAGTTAAAAAAAATGTTTATTTATTCGTATCTTACTCGTTCCTCTATACCAGGGGTTTCCCAAACTATTTCGGGCAAGAGACACCTTTTCCAAAATGAACAGATACCTCAGACTTCCATAGCCAAATTACTTTAGAAATACTTATCAACTTAAAAACTTTGCTGTTGGTTGAGTGAGCTTGACATCATTTTCTTATAAATATTTAACAAAATAAATAGACATAAGATTCAGTTAATATCAAATCAAGTGTAATTAATAATAATTGGTAAAAATTACGTAAAAATATTTAAGTAGGTAATTATTTTTTGAAAAAAACTTTAAAATCGCAATATATATATACAAATTCAGTTTCCATTTATTTCGACTCCTGGAAAACCGATTTCGATCCCAAGGGGTCACCACTTTGGGAATCCCTGCTCTATACCATTCATCCGATTACGATGGAACTTTGCGTATGTTTATGACTACAAAATACGTTTATTTTGTTCATCTTCTATTGAAAAATATAAAATTGAAAAATCTTTATTGCAACAAAAACGAATTTATACATATCAATGTGATCCTAGCTCCTGTAAAAGGTTAACCTGAGTAACAGGAGCTAGTTCCTTCCTAAATTTAATAAGCTTTTGTTGAATAAAAACACAAAAAAAATATACAAAAAAAATATATATATATATATAGATCTACGTGTTACTAAACTTACGTACGTGCGCGCGGTGTATGTGTGTGTGTGTGTGTGTGTGTGTGTGTGTGTGTGTGTGTGTGTGTGTGTTCGTGCGTGCGTGTGTGCGTGCGTGTATGCGTGCGTGCGTGCATGCGTGTGTGTGGGTGCGCGCGTGCGTGCGTGCTTGCGTGCATGTGTGTGTGTGTGTGTGTGTGTGTGTGTGCGTGTGTGTGTGTGTGTGTGTGTGTGTGTGTGTGTGTGTGTGTGTGTGTGTGTGTGTGTGAGTGTGTGTATGCGTACATGAGTGTATGTGTGATGTGAGTGTGATTTTACTGTGAAGATTTTATATTTTGAAATTTGTATTGTTGCGCGCCTAAGTTGACGTCTGGCACTAGCGCCATCTAGAGTCGGGTAACAGAGTGAGGAGAGCTTTCCAGAAAATGACATGACTAATCTTTCAACCAACGGGCTGCTCCTCCTGTCGGCGAGCCTGTTCCTCCTGCTGCTCTTTCAACCAACGGGCCTGCTCCTCCTGTCGGCAAACCTGCTCCTGCAGCATCACCATCAGAGCACCTAAGTCAGGTGATGCAGATGTAGGAGCTACTGACGGGCCTGCAGCCGGTGGCTGGCCCTCCGACGTCTGCGGCGTTGCACCACCAAATCTTCTTTGGTCCGTCTCCTGCTGGCGTTGACATCGGGTACGGACATCCTCCGTTTCCTCCTTAGGTAAAATCGCCATAATTTCATCCCACTTCTGACACCAATTGTTACGTGGATTCAAAGTGCCACCTTTCGACGGGACTTCTTCCTGGTCGGCCTACAAAATCCAGTTTGAGGCCGTCATGGAGGCGAACGGCTGGAATAAAAGCCAGGCCATGACTGCACTCACCCTAGGCCTCCTGAACAATCATTATGGTACAGCTGTAGAACATCCGGTACATTAGCTTTAGGGACAATCATTTGCAAATGACAGCTGTCTCCCCGAACATTTTCCCATTTATGGCACAGAACTCCATCCTGAAGCAGCAAGCTGTCCCACTGGGCCCAATAGCTTTTAGTGGTCGAACTCATCGCTGAGACGTCGCTCCACTTGGGCTTGGGAGCACTGGCCTTCATCCATTCTAGAATCGGCTTGATGTCCGGATCTTCCTGCTGTGCATGTTGTAAGCTGTCCTTCCACTCGTTGCTGAGGTGGTCTGTCCTGAGCATCCTCACGGATACCACTTCCTTACTCTCTTGCCTAGTACAATGTTTGCAATCTTCAGGACAAGGTCTTCTTGACAATGCATCTGCGTTGCCATGAGATTTCCCGCTGCGATGTTCGATCTCAAAGTCGTATTCCTGCGGTAGTTCAATCCACCTCGCAACTTGTCCTTCTGGATTTTTAAAGAGCAATAGCCATTTTAGTGCAACATGATCAGTTCGTAAGTGAAATTTCTGCCCCAGAAGATATTAGATATAAGAGAACAATAAAAAAATTAGAATTACATTTACATATTAGAGGTTTAATAGACATTCAGTAGCGTGATAGTCATAAGTTTGAAGTCAATTAATAATTTTATTTTTGATTTGATGGTTGTTGTAGCTTTTAGTAATACAAATTTTATTAAATTTATTGTATAGTACTGGCGCAAGGTAAAAAAATTGTCTTTTGGCAAAAGCACTATGTGTTCTAGGGACTAAGTATCTATCTACTTTATTTCTTCTGTTATGTTTTATACTGTCAAGTTGATAGTGTGCAGAGTACCTATGGAATCGTCTAATACATTGGTATATAAATAATTTTCGCACACTAAGTACCTGCGTTTTATCATACAACAGTGTTATGGGATGTCTATACGGAAGAAAAAGTAATACTTTGAGCACAACACGTTGAGCTCTTTCAGCATCTATTAAGTACGTTTTGCCTGCCCCACCCCAGGAACAGATCCCATAAGTGATGACAGATTGACAGAGCGCATTAAAAGTTTGTATCAGTAATTTAGAGTCTGCCACCTGACGCAATGATTTAAAAACATATATGAGTTTCCTTATCCTGTTTGATATGATTTTGATATGTGGAGCCCAATTCAGATTTTTATCGACAGTGATCCCTAAATAATTCACAGTTTTGGACCTGTTGAGTTTTGGGCAATAGCAAGGTGTCTGTGATTGTCTATTTGCATTACTATTGCATTTATTCAAGTGTATTTGTAATCCAAGATCGTTCAAAGGACTTGAAACACTAGTCTTACTAAAACAGAGGCATGTGGTTTTAGAAGCGTTCAGAGAAGACTGTCTTCGAGCCAACCTGCCACTTCACATAACCCCTTTTCAGCCAAACGTTTGGTTTTTTCCCATATACTATCATAGAATAGAATTACTGTATCGTCCGCATACATGGTAATGTCTGCTCCTTCAAGATCTACGTCGGCCAACTGATTTATATATACTAAGAATAGGGTTGGTCCGAGTATATTGCCCTGTGGGACACCATATGAGCAAGAAAGGTCTTGACTGATATATTTATCAAGTTTGACCATACTGAGTTCTACCAGTAAAGTAAGTTCTAAACAATGACAGAACTACACCGCGAACACCCACATTTTGTAATCGAGTCAACAAAATTGGTATTGAGGCGTTATCAAAAGCTTTCTGCAAGTCAATGCGTGTCTATAAACCAAATTGTGCTAAAATGTTTCCTGAGTGTTTTTCTTGTGTGGTGTGCAATAAAAGTACATTTATTTTGCATGAATGATGAACTGAACCAACGGTAAATTATCTCGCGAACTTCCAGCACGGTCCCTCACAGCTCGACACATGATAAAACACATTCATAAAATAAAAGAGATAACAATTTTTATCATTTAGTCTAAGAAAGTGGTCAACGAAAGCACAAGCATTATAAAAAACAGCATATAATACATCAAAATTCAAAATCACACTCATTTAAGTAAATTAATCTATATTCTTCATTGTTCTACTTCGATGTCGCTGTCGACTGTTACAGGAACTGTGGGAGCTTGGTGAGACACCGCGGGTGCGGACGCGGCGGTGGGAGGCCTGCTCTCTGCTGATTCTGGCCTCTTGCCGCTGTGCTCTATTGTGTCTGATAAGATCTCCTTCAACGTTGAAGCGAGCGCTTTTGGATTACCGCTACTGTCCAACTAGAAACAATAGCATAATTGATGTAGTCACGTTCCCTGGCATCTAAGTCACACTATCATAATTTATTCTTTGACTTATTTGTAAAATATTTGCCTCGTCACGCTTGGCCGGCAGATTGATGACCGTAGTAGCAGACGTCTCGCATCGTCGATGCTTCGTCATCGGTCTGGGTTTTTTTTAGTATTATTATACACCAGTACATAACGGCTATCTCACTCGATGGTACGTGGTGACGCAGCTATAGAATAATATGACTATTCTAGTACTACGTACGTTACAGACCGCGAACAAAGTCTGTGCGGCAGTGCTTGGTGTGTGGTTAGAGATAGTGTTAAGTATTGGCGTCTCTTATAGAATACGCAGTACATATTACTTTAATGAATGCGGCCTATTATATATTTAGATGGTTGTACTAACCTATCGAAATCATTTTGGTATATAATATAGCCGCCTCTTACGACACCCACGGTACAAAATGGCATAATGTAAGTATTGGATTCGCCTATGCTGCCATCCGCCACTAAACATATATGTATGGCGCCAAAGAACATGCCTGTTACGAGATGTAGATTTGTTTTACGACCCTAAAGCCATTGTGGGTAGGCACCACTCTCATAAGAATTACTCAGGCTGTGTCGCTCTCATTAGTGATTGTCCCGAATTCGAAACTGGGTCGGGCTAAAAATCTGTTATCGCGTTTTTAAACCGAGAAGCTCTCGCCGTGCATCAGAAAGCGTTCTTCCTGCGCCTAACTTATCCGATCGTGTTGGATTGGAATAGAGTGTAGTGTTTGCGCAAATACTCGTGCACTATAATCCTGTCATGCGCAGATGACTAATCTCGGTCGAGACCGGTCGTCGTGACTGACAATCAGTCTGGAGGACATTATTATAATTAAATAACACTTTTTAAGTTCACTATTTGACCTTTGGTTATTCCAAGAAAGCATCGGCTGGCAATCAGTGCCTAGAAGATTTGCCAACACTCGACGCTATAAATGAATTGATGAACAGCGTAATTACAGAGTACAAGCTGTGAGGCGTTTTATGAAAAACAACCGATGAGACAACGCATCTGTGGTCTTCCTTAATTGAAGTTATCTACAAATGTCCACGCTGTGGGGTGGCGGTGTAAAAGTCCTTCGCCCTATTTCAATATTTTATTACTTTTGATTCGATACCAAGTACCGAATCAAAAGTATCGATACTGATAAATGTAACGACTCAAAAGTATCGAGTAACTAAGAAAGGTTCGATAATTAGTAGAATAATCTAATAAAAGTATCGAGTACAAAAATAATAGGTATCGAACTAAAAGTATCGATACTACTTAGGTATCGATACTTTTTGCGGATCCCTACAGGCAGTAGCGTCAAAGGTCTGATTCTGCGATCGTCAATGCGCCAGCCAAAGCATGATGATTAAAGCAGATCTCTCCTACAACGGAATATAAGAGATCCATATTCAGCAGTGTATTTTACCGGCTGATGAAGGAGTTTTTATATTACCATCAGGTGGATCGTTTGTCACTCTATTAACATAAAAATACAGACTGTGACCACCTCACCGTGATTACATGTCCGCCAAAACGCTTATGGACATTCTTGACTTTGTGTGCCGCTTCTCTGACGATTTCTCGAGCCGCGTTGATCTCCGACTCAGGTCTCCCCAACTCAGATAGTTTGTTCTGTAGCCTCGTTGCTGCTACCTATAGCATTGCGTTAAGGAGGCTAAAAATTTATTGAATTAGTGTTGTAGGATGCACCCATGTTAGAAGGGCGCTCCTTATCATCATCATCATCATCATTACAGCCCTTCACAAGTCCACTGCTGAACATAGGCCTCTCCCAAGGAATGCCCCAAAGCACGGTCCTGAGCCACCTGCATTCATCGACTTCCTGCATGTCTTATCAGGTCTACACTCCATCTAGTGGGGGGTCACCCTACGCTACGTCCACCGGTACGAGGCTGCCACTCAAGAACCTTTTTTCCCCATCGGTTGTCGGTTCTTCGAGCTATATGGCCGGCCTTATGTCAGAACAATTTATCAACTAAGTGTTTTTTTAGTATAGTAAGTCAACTAAGAGAGAGAAACAATTTTTTTGTAAAAATCCATTGCTGTAAAGCGACAGTTGTAAGAAGGACTCGCATTAATCATCACGCCTGGAAAATGGATTGACGACCAGAAGTGAGCACCTTTGACGATGCTAACTGCTCCCGATTTGGGTCATTTTACGTTTGAAATGTTTAAAGGTTATAAATAATTATTACTAATAATGGTACAGTTAATGGTTTGACTGCCTCGTCGGTCTAGTGGTTGTAAACGCGACTGCTGATCATGAGGTCCCGGGTTCGAATCCCGAGTCAGACCAAAAGAATCAGTTATTGACTTTTTCCAACAAATTCTCAATAGCTGCCCGAAGTCAGGAAGTTGGCGATGTCTCACCCCCGCGCCACGGAAAGCACGTAAAACCATTCGTCCTGCACCTGATCGCTCTCCGATCGTGTCGGGTTATCATCCCATCGGGCTATGAGAGCGAGGGAATGTAAAATGCACCTGTGCTTGCGCACACACTCACGCACTATAATCCTGTCCCTGCGTCGATGGCTAGTCTCCATTTAGGCTGGCCGCCTTGTCCAAAAGTCGGTCAGGAGGACATTATTATACGTAATGCTACCTGTAATAATGGTAGGCCTGCTGGACAACTTATTTATGTTGGGAACTGAAGCGGGTACCGGAAGAGTGGTGTAAAGTCGTGATAGTCTCAATATATAAGGGAAAAGGGTCGCAGCAGGACTGTAAAAACTACCCTGGTATCAGCCTTCCTAGGATTGTGGGAAAACTGTACGCTAAGGTACTAACTGAAAGGGTCATGAAAGAAACTGGTGGAAAAATTTGGGATGTGCAAGCGGGATTTAGAAAGGGAATGGGATGTACAGATCAGACCTTTTTTTTCCATGCGCATGATCGAGGAGAAGTTTTTGGCTAAAAACTAAAGAGTTTTTGTGCGTTCATAACTTGGAAAATGCTTATTACAGAGTGGACAGAAATGTGTCATGGCAAACACTGAATTCATTTGGGTTGAGCACTGGATTGATACAGGCATTAAAGTCTCTTTATAGGGACTAGTGCTTGTGTTAGGATCAACGGGGTCTCGGACTGGTAAAGTAAAGTAAAAGTAAAATATACTTTATTGTACACCAAGGAACATATTACATTATTTATATATTTAAAGGGACATTGGTACAACAGGCGGCCTTATCGCTAAAACAGCGATCTCTTCCAGGCAACCTTAGGGCAGAGGATACTATTTTAAAAGATAGCGGAAGGGGTGTACAGAATATGATAAAGAAAGATAAATAGAAGAACATAAATGATTAAAGAAAAAAATGAAAAAAAAATGAATGACGACAGGTAGTAACTTAAGAGGAAAGGTAATAAAGTTTTAATTTATTTTTAAATATAGGAAGAGATTTAGATTTTTTTAATATGTAAGGGGAGAGAATTCCATAGTCGTATAGCGGTAACCGTAAAAGAATTAGAATAGAAGGAAGAGGAATGACTAGGGGTACTTAGAAGGAGGTTATTTTGAGATCGTAGAGGTAAAGAGTGTAAACTACTTAAATATATAAATCGGTCTTTCAAATAAGAAGGAGTGGTCGGGTTGAACAGAATGCAGTAAAGAAGATGAAGAATGTGAGTATTCCTGCGAAGACGAATCGGGAGCCACTTGAGCTTATGGCGGAATTCGGATATGTGGTCATACTTTCGTAACCCAAATATAAACCTTATGCAATAATTTTGAAGCCGCTCAAGTTTATTAAGTTGCTCGTATGTTAGGTCAAGATAACAAGTGTCCGCGTAGTCAAGGATCGGTAAAAGAAGAGACTGAGCCAGCGCAACTTTAGTAGGAATGGGGAGAACATTGCGTAATCTTCGAAGTGAACCAACTGCGGCAAACATTTTTTTACTTATTTCACTAACTTGCGGTCCCCAAGACAAAGTCTGATCGAACATTATACCTAAATTCTTAACTTTGTCACTGTATGGGATAAGTGTCCCATCGAATATGATTGGCGGGAGCAGCGACAAAGTTAACCGAGAGATTAATTTCGAACTCCCTATAATAATGGCTTGAGTCTTCAATGGATTAACTTTAAGCCCAAATGAATTACACCAAAGAGAAATACGAATAAGATCTTCATTAATTAATCTAATTGTATTGGGGAGATCCGCAATCTTACATTGAGAGTAGATTTGTAAATCGTCTGCATATAGGTGGTAAAGAGAAGTTATGTGGGAACAGATCGAATTGATGAAAATAGAGAACAATAGAGGAGACAACACGCCACCTTGTGGGACGCCAGCTTTGACAGCAGACCAGTCAGAAAACGTGTCTTGAATTTGTACACGTTGCCGGCGCCCATGCAAGTAACTATGAAACCAACCAATTACTTCAGGAGATATGTTAAGAGAACTTAGGACAGCGAGTAAAACATCAAAGTCTACAGTATTGAAGGCATTACTAAAGTCAAGCAATGTCAATACTGTAACCTGCTGACTATCCATGCCCAGGCGAATATCATCAGTGATTCTAACCAAAGCCGTAGTCGTACTATGACCGGGACGGAATCCAGATTGGAATGAATTCAAAAGGTTATGATTGGACAGGAATTTGCTCAGCTGTTGGTATATTAGGCGCTCGAGTACTTTAGAGAGAAAGGAAAGGATGGATATAGGACGGTAACCCTCATATGTCGGATTAGATTTTTTAGGGAGTGGAGTTACTAGGCCGTCTTTCCAGGATGAAGGAAAAACACTGGTGTCAAGGGAACGGTTTAAAATAAGTGTAAGTATAGGAGCTAAAAGATCGAGTATTGGGATAATCATCTTACGACTAATGCTGTCAGAACCAACTGCGTCGGAAGTAATGGCTAATATATTCTTCTTAACATCACTGACAGTAACTTGGCTAAAGACAAAAAGAGGATAAATTGGGAGTTGATATAGCAGAAAGTTGAGCAAGTGTATTTTTCTTCGTAGCACTGTCTATAGTGGCGCTAGAGAGGAAATGAGCATTAAGCTTATTTAAATTCAAATTAAGAGATTCTACATTACGCTTTGCTTTTCCAACCCCTAAAGATTTGAGAAAGTTCCAAACTTTAGTTGAGTTATCTTCCTCAACAACAGATTTATGGATATGGCTTCGTTGACTATCTCTACACACCATATTGCAGCGATTTCGTGCCCTGTTATATTTCTCTCGGTTAGAATCATTAGGATTCATACGATATTTAGATTTCGCTATGTTCTTTTTTTCTTGAAGTTTTTTTTATATCGGCAGTGAGCCAGGGGGCAGGAAGATGCTTCATTCGAACTGGACGAATTGGAGCGTGGATGTCATACAGTTGTGTAAGTATGCTGTTAAAAATAGATATCTGCTCATCGACCGAACCAGCATTCGCAACTACTGACCAGTCAACCTTAGCAGTATCTTCTCGTAACTTATCCAGGTCCATTCTACTAAAATTGCGCCGGAGAAGGATCCTTCGCTTAGCCTTAGGAGGTTTTAATTTATAGGACAGGTAAAGTAGATCATGGTAAGAAAAAGCGGAGGCATTGCATTGACCATGCTTTGCAACATGGTCAATGGAAGAAACAAGTATTAAATCAAGGAGAGAAGGTACACAATTAGGAAAAGCATGAGTTGCTGAAAGTGGGAGAATATGTAAGTTAATGCCATTAACAAGAGATTTCAGACGGGATGCTCTAACATCATTTTTGAGAAGACAAGTATTGAAATCTCCCATGACAATAGTGTGATTATAAAGCGAGGAGTATTGTTCTAAAAGAATTTCAAATGCTGAAAAATAATCAATTGTAACATTTGGACTGTAATAGACACCGAGAAGAAGCTTTAAATGTCCAAACAATATTTCGATGAATAGGTGTTCAGGGCCGGCGCTAGACACTGGCTGCGAAGTATTTAAAACTGTGTAAGGAATGTGTGATCTTAAATAAATCGCCACGCGACCGCCAGCGCGCCCAAGGCGGTCGTTGCGAATCAAGTGGAATCCGGGAAGAGAGTAAGATATTGAAGGCAAACATGGTTTTAACCAAGATTCAGAAACTAATATCGCATGTATATTTTCATTATAAAATGAGGACAACATGTCAGGATAATGTGCGGGAATACTCTGGGCATTTATATGAACAACATTAAAGTTTTTCAGAGTATCTGAGAAATGAGAATCAAGAGTTTCACTTAAAGAAGGGATGCTATGATAACTGTCATTACTGCTCAATCCATCTGAATCACCGAGGGAAAAAAAACTGTCGTCTAAATTATCATTATTGGAAATCATAGATATCAAACTATAAATATAATATAAATAATAAATATAAGAAAAAAAAGAAAAAAATGGTTTACAAACCCACCCGCCAGTACTGGTTTGGCATCTATAAAGGTACCCCCTCCCTGTCAACGGTCAGACAGGGATGTGTGGCTTCCCCGTGACTGTTCAACCTATTTATGGACAGTTGTTTGAAAAATTTAAAAGTTTAATAATGCGGAATAAGAATGGCTGAGTTAAAGTTAACGTCAAATGCCTTTTGTAGCTGATGATCAAGTTATTTTTGCGTCGTCGGCGGCCGAGTTCCAAATGATGGTTACATTAATGAACAGGTCTTTAAAAGAAAGGGGTATGAAAGTGAACGCAAGTAAGACGAAAGTTATAGTTTTTGAAACAGAAGAAAGTAAAACGATATGTGAAATAAGAATGGAAGGGGAGTTGGTCGAGCAAGAAGATAAGTTTGTATATTTGGTATGTGTATACAGCAGGGATGGGAGATATGATAATAATATAGAACGACGAGTGAACGCAGGAAAGAAAGTAAATGACGCTATACACTCTATTGTGAAAAGTCAGAATGTGTTCAAAAATGCACGTACACAGGCTGCACTAAAAGTATCGGGAATGGAATATTTCCACTGTTCCTATCACATTAAAATCTTTTTAATTGAAAACTCCTTGGTTTTAAAAGTTGAATACCATTTATTCATTTAAAAAAAGATTCTCGGTCTTGTCACAAGGTTTTGTCAAACTTTTTTAGTCGTTGAGAAAATGGAATTGACTCGAGAAAATTCAAGAGCGATGATTTATTATGACTTTCGAAGTGGTTTAACACAAAAACAGTGTGTTGACCGGATGATTTCTGCATTTGATTCGCTTTCGCTGAGCGACCTTGAGCGTCCTCATACGGCCAGCAGTGAAAGACCACGTCTCAGATCCATAAGTCATCGCTAGCAGCACGCACTGGCAGTATAATCTAGTTTTTAGGTTTTGAGGCATACCTGACGAGAAGATGTGTCGTAATTTCCCGAACGCTGCCTAGCCGAGTTGAATCCGTTGACTTGACTCCTTTATTATTAAAAAATAATGAAGTCTCCAATTTAATTATAAATTACCTCATTATCGACCTCCAATGCGACTATCTTCTCGGGCCATTTAACTTGGCTGTTGAATATATTCGACATGCGAGGGTTCTTCGGGAAGCCTACCAGTATGTAGCCCTTAGCGTCTTGCTGTGACAGCATCGCTTCTTTTATGAGATCCACAATTAATTGCTGCAATCAATATAAACGTATATGGTAAACACCAGGCTGTAAATCTAATCTAAAAAATGCAATAATCACAGTCTATGTTGACGTAAAGGTAAACACCATTCCATCGATTACAGCTTGTAAAAGTCCAATGCGGAACATAATCTTCTCTCATAGATTGCCTCATAGAGGAGATTGTGCCATAGTTACTACGCTTGGCACTCGGGTTGGCAACCGCAGATTTTTTTAATATTGAGCTGTATCAGATAGATATAGACAGATGCTGCTGTTCATCTCTTATTTCAGTTTGAACTAAAGCAAACACATAAAAGCGGATATCCCCTGGAAAAATTTAATGAATTGAAGTGTCATGTGTCCATTGCTCTGCCTCGCTCGTGCCTCTTCTCGTTTCTAATAGGGTTAAAAAGATGAGAAGGAAAGAAAGAAGCAATTTAATTTGATGCTTATTTTATAGCAATGACTATTGAAAGGCATAATTATTGCATCAGCAAATAGATATCCGACTCAGCAATATGTTGTAGTCACTACAAAACACGCTAAGCTAACTACAATGTAGCGGAATAAACACAGCGCTATCCTGCTTCGATCAATAATATACAATTGATCGAAGCTATCCTGTATAATATATGACACGGAGCTATTAATTCAACGCGCTGCTCCAGTGCGTGTGGGCTGTCTTCACGGGTCCTTTAAATATTTTTATTGCTCAGATATGCAGGTCTCCTCGTTATGATTTCCATCACCGTCATGCACGTGATAAATCAGCACTTAAAAATGCAATCATAATTTCATTGGTGCCAGCGGGAATCGAATTCGCTTTGCTTGCTTAATGCGAAATTTGCGTTGAGCGTTTCGCCCTTGAGCTTCCATTTTAAGATATATCACTGGTCATATGGAACGGAACGGTATCCTGGAAATTTGGGGCACCAATTTAATTTGTGCTGAGAGGATTACAGATAAGCTTGATTTACTCATAGTTGAAATCAATCTAGACAGCCTCGAACACATGTGCAGAATAGTCAGCATCTAATTATTCTATAGGATGCATTTTATAGAGTGTATGCAGGAATTATTTCCCTACTCTTTACTCCATCGGATAACCAAGCGGTCAGCGGGTCTTTGCCCCTTTGTTGTCAATAATCCAAACATTCAATTTGATTGCTTTGTCTTTCATTATCTTTTTTTTATTATTTCAATACCGTGTACAGCAAAGGAGTCGAATAATTTGACGGCGTCTGTCTTCGGTCCAATTACAATCTGGGCGTCTTCAAGGCAAGAGTGAATAGGTTATTGTTACGCTAAGACAGTGCGATTTACCACCCAGGCCTTCATCACCCTAGATGGTAAACTGGTAAACCAGGTGGAATTGTAGTCAAGCACTGGTGTATAGTAAGTAACAGAAAATCTGGGGCAAGGCTCCTTAAGCTATTGTAAAGATACATGGGCATCAGTAGGTAGCCACTTATAATCAAATGACCTACGAGTATGTTTATGTGTATCAGTACGTATGTATGTAGTCACTTCTTTCTCATATTCACAATTGGATTCAAAATCGTCTATTAACAACGATAAAAGTACCTCTTGGATATCCTCCTGAGCCTGCAGCTTATCCGCAATAAGTCGCCCTCTCGATGTGTCCTTTTCTGCCTCTGACCTCACTAACTCCCCAGGCCTGATCATCACGTAGCCCGTGATACTCGATATAGTTTGTGCTACCGTTTGATTGCCAGCGCCTGGAACGCCATTGACAAAAATTACCGGTAGGTGGCGGATCGGCGTCATATCATATACTGCATCTTCCTGGAACAATAAACATGTACAAATCAAAAACTTGAAATTAACTTGCATTTCAAGGAAGAAATGTTAAAATTAGAGATGGGCCGAATATTCGTTTTATATTCGGTATTCGGCATATTCGGCAGCTTTACCGAATATTCGTATTCGGCCGAATATTCGGCTAAATTACCGAACATTCGTTAAGGTGGTACTCAAAGTGTCCACTGTATTGAAATGTACGAATTGAGTAATGCCATGTCTTTCATAATTTTACTGTTGAAAGTATATTTTATTTATGGATTAAATCTACTTGTACCTATAGCGTTATGTCTTGATGCACTGTAGATTTATTTCCAATTATAGCAAATAGAAAACTTGATAAAATGTTTTTGGAATCAAACAAAGAAACATTACATTACAGTAGTACATTTCACTTTACTTTAGTCGCCAGTTTCTCTAAAACAAGTCCAAAAGGTAGATCTCCTGCCACTTATTTTTATCATATAATTATCAATTTTCTCTAATAATAACACTACGAAATACTTTTTTTCTCACAAAAATAGTCAAAACATAAGCATGTGCCGGCAATTTGCTCAGTACTATAGATGATGCAATAATATTTTAGGTGTAGCGGGGGAGCGAGGGGTAGGGTCCTGCGCTAATACCGCGCGCTTTATGGTAACAAGTGTCAACATAAATTGGTTAAGGATCGAGTTGATCGTGCCGAATAATGTTCGGCCGAATTTTTTCGGCCGAATATTCGTATTCGGTGAAATCCATGTTCGAACCATCTCTAGTTAAAATGCTGTTTTATATGTGGTAGAGCCATACTGCAGTTATATTAGTAGTATAGTTGTAGCACGAATGGGTCGGCTCGACCGGGGAATTACCACGCTCTCACAGAATACCAACGTAAAATAGTATCTTAATGCTGCTGTGTTTCGTATGGTGAGTGTAAAGAACCGGAGACCCTTTTTACTGGAAATGAGGGATTACATCTTAGTCCTCACGGGTGACAACGCATCTGCATTTTGATTTGTAATCGAGGATAGATGTAGATGTCTATGGGCCGCAGCAACCACTTACCATCAGGTGAACTGTGTGCTAGTTTATCACCCTATCCTATAAAAAAACCGATGTTAAAATAGCTTTTATGTGATTGTTGAGTGCAAAATATTGGAATTTTTAATAAGCAGTCCTTTTTCTTTCATATCGCGTGATAAATTTTACGTCATACTGTAATATAGTTATATATATGCAACATAACAGTTACTGCCCATTGAGTCGAGAGGCATTACCATAGAAGTCAAGGTCAGCCATCTACATCAATCAACGTCCGGACTGTCGTGTCGTCTCTGCGTGTTTTTGATATTTCATCCAATAATCAGTATTATTACAGCCTACATATGAACAAATGCATCAAGAAGCAATGCACCAATAAGCGCAATCATTAGATTTCTTTATGGTAATAGGTACCTCGTAAATTTGGTGGGTTTTCTATTTCACTTATTTCTTTAAGTTTTATAGATTACGAACCAAATTTTGGTGTACGATTTTTAACTATATTACCTCGGATTGTATAAAAGGAAAACACAATAACATGTAATTTTTTCGATGGAAAAAAATTGTAAAGTAAGTTCTAATTAGTTACATTTCTACATTCTATCTCAATATTTTTACGAATAAGTCCATGGAATTCTTTTTAAAGCATAGTAAATAATTATATCTAAGTTAATATAAACAATTTTTTAATCCATATCGAAGTTTTGTTAAAAAATTTAAATGCTGTTTGGCGTTCACCTAGTTTATTTCCGAGCGCGTGCTCGGCATAGCTACCTATCTCATAATTTGCGCATATGAAGTAATTGCATCACTTTCATTTTGGCACTCCCTCAGTCGTTCGTGAACTTACGTTCCCAAAACTACAATTCATTTTCAAGGAAAGTAAAGGTGACAAACGGGCACCCAATCTACCTAACGCTAGGAGAATACTGCATCTCTACATCTACCCTCGATTAATCTGATTGTTGAAGCGTTGTCACTTCTGAGGACTACGATGTAATGCAGCGTTACCGGTTGTAGATATGTTCGAAAAACGAACTTAACTTTATCCATAACGATAACCATATCACGGCCGATATTTCAACGGCAAATCTAAGTTTGTAACAGAGTAACGTTGGTGTTATGGATGAGCGTAGTTCTAACACATCTGAGGATCAGTAGCTAAAGGTTGTCCAGCAATGCGTTCGTCGGACTTTGATTAACAAATTAAATGCGTTTAAATGTTTGTTTTCATAGGTAATATTCTATGAATATAATATAGCAGAATAGAATATAATAGAATAATTTTTGGTCAATATAGATTGCATGAATTATTATTAAAAATCATTTAATCTTTACCACTGATTCGTAGAAAACCTCTGTCTTGGGAAGAACCAGCTAGAAACCCAACGGAAATTTTAAAAACAATCTTTTGTATGTCAATAATATATTATTATGCTGTCGATAGCCCACATTAAATAATAATTCTCTCAGATATACTGGTCTTGGTAGACCTGTATTTTTGCACGCACAATGCTTTTGACAAAAAATTCAAACATACGTATTCTTATTTAGTTGAAAAAAGTTTGTTTGTCAAAAACTTGTCTTAGAAAGAATATTTCTAAAACTACTACTGTCAAGTTGGTGTTATTTTAAAAATACGCTCTGCTGTCTTCGGTCATACATTGATTATCTACATTCAAAAAATTTTTAATTCCACTAATGGTTTACCACCCACCTCAATCATTTTTCTAGAATAGAAACAACCCATGTCGGCTGTTAATTAAAAACTCTTCACGATTTGTATGTATATAAATATTTATTGCAAATATTGTCTACCAACTAAAATGACATTTCTAAACACACTTGAAAATTGTTTGAAATAAGTATAAATCTAGATTATTGACAATGAAATATTAACATTTTCTCATCGGGCAGCGTAACGGACAGTATTTTGTGAACTAATAAAAATGTATAGATAATACTTCCTTTTAAAAAGAGTGTGGTAAGGATATACTTAAGTTTGTTTTATAATATTTTATCATAGAGGTAGCAAAGATATTCACCAGTGTTGTGTTATAGGTACGTCATTTTTTTATAATATTAGATTCACGCACGACTTAAAAGTCCGCCCACAGATCATCAAAGTTACCTGAGAATCCATCTGATAATAATTGATAATTATTGCATATGCAACTCATGTAAGTACCTACTTTCAAGAAAAGAAAAAAGAAAGTAAAATAAAAGGGTTTTTTCAAATAGTATTTTAAATGAATCCTAGAGTGATAATGAACCACTCTAATTTTTATATTTTTTTTAAAACCGATTAGTGCCATAAAAAATTACTTTTAATTGATCGTTTTATATCTTTTTAAATGTTCGCGCGAAAACGCTAGCCGCCATGCTGTAAGGCGGTGGTCTCCTATAAACGCCGTCGGCCGCTTACAGCGTCACGCCGTTAAAGGTGGTTTGGCAGAAAAGGTTGAAGTCAGGTTGTAATAGCTATGGACACGCCGGGGAATCTAACCTATTTAAATATATGTTTGTAAAGTATTCATATTAAAAATTACCAATCATGAGTTTTTAATAGCATGTATATGTTTATTCATGTATATTACTTAAAACTAATATTGCACAAAACAACTTATAAACTCTCTTAATTATTACGGGCATTTGCCGAAAACTTTTTGCGCTTAGGCGTAGCCAATGCTTACTATAGAAATGTACTGTTGTGGTCTCTTTTACACGCTGACGTCGGCGTATGGACGTCGTAGGCGGCGTAAGACGCTTTGCGCTGCGTAGAGGAAAGTAATGTATCTCTCTAGTTATTTTGAACCATTGTTGCAGCGTGAACGTCGTGTCTAGCGTCAGTACAAAATGGCCAAATTTAATAAAGAAAAACTTTTTCTTCAACCGATATGGGCTTAGGATGCCTTTTTGATGGCACTTTTATTACATACTCCTGCACAAGCTCTACAATATGTTTAAATTGTTCTTGATTAATACGAAAATATTCAGTAAATTTAGAATCGCTATCTTTTAAGTGTTTCATTATCAATAGCTGGAAACATCCTTCCTCATTTCTCTTCATAAATAATCGGTGCCTTGTTGCCTTTATTTTTCTTCGTATACGGTCGTCTTGTGCCTCTTCTTCAAGTAACACAAGCGCCGCCAAAAGTGTTGAATTTATATCCATTTTATGAACAAATATCACACACAACCACACGTGAGCACTGTCGGCTACTTAACTGTTGTTTGATCGAAAGTCTAGACGTCGTCCGTTGCTAATATTATGTATTGACCGCTGACGCTGTGCCTGGCGTTCAGACGCCGATCGGAACGTTTACGCTGAAGTCGGACGTCGCGTATAGCATTTAATAGGAGACCGTAGCCTAAAGCTCGTGGCGTCACTGTCCTTGCCGATTTTGCTGATTTTGCAAAGGAATAAGATTTTTTTGAGTGTTTAATAATGAGGTATCATCTTTATCATTGGTATGTTGTGCCTGAATGCAAAAGTACGAGCATATGAACGCCGGGGAATTTATGGATTCAAGTGCCAACTGACTTAAATACGAAAAATACTTGGTTAGAATTGGCATGAAGGTACCTGAATACCTTGTTTACAAAAACTGAACTATACTTCTGTGAAAATTATTTTGATGTAAGTATGACTTATATTTACTGTCGTTTAAATAAAACAAAACATCATGAGGTGATTGATAATGATTGTAATCACAGATAAACATAACTATGTAGTATCAAAATACACTCTGACCTGGTATTGTGTTATTGCATAAACAAAAGTTGATTCTTGATTGCATGCAAAAAATTTTGCCACCATCAATGTATGTATCCTTGGTAGATTACTACTTTCTGCTTTTACGAATCCGTCTTCGTCTTCGATGATACCTTTTTAATAAAATTCGGAATAAAACTCAACAATCGTAATGATAACTATAAAAATTGCGAAATAACATAGCACATTAACTAGATCAGTGTTTCCCAAACATTGTTCTGCCATGGTCCGGTAATTTTCACAATATCCCTCCGTGACCGACTTAATTCTTTTAAACCCAAGCTGGTTCCGTTATGTAAAATAATACACATTTATTAATACTAAAAATGTTTTATTAATACTCCATATTTTGGTATCGCTTATCGAAGTATGGACCTGCTGCTTATTTTTCACTAGAGAATTCAAGTTTACGGAAAATAAGGAAAGTTTTATCCTAAGGTAAAATAGTAGTAGTAAGTAAGCGGGAATGTCACGACCTGGTATTTTATTTTTATGGCCCGGTATCGGGTAGCGACCCGGCAAGTGGGAAACGGTGAGCTAGATAACTTTACCAGTGACGTCACGACGGATTCTAATATGGCGGATAGCGTTTTGGAAATTTGAGGAACAGATAAAAAAATATTCTTAAAATTGAATTTATTATGTATTTTTATGAATAGAAATCAAAATGTCTCGTTTACCTTTTACAAAACTTATCTTAAATATATATTTTTTATTTGGTTTTACATGGTGTAAAATTCCCTATTGTTCCGTTGCCTTTATCTTATAGCTTTTGTTTAAGTTACTAAATCTAAAGCGCCGCTGTGTTAAAGTTTGGATAAATGTTTTGCAAATTCTGTTTTCGCAGAAACGAAGTTAGATTTTCAATTATTCAGAATCAGGTTTCATTAAAATTCTTTAAGAAGAAAAGTGGCTTTGAAAATGTATGCATTCTCAGTGCATGGGTTGACAGGTAGAGAATGCCTCAAGGCATTAAGTCCGCCCTTTGTATTCTTTTGCTTAAGAATGCAATAAAGAATAAAATAAGTAAATAAATAAATTAAACTAAATCAGTCTCTAAATCATAACTATACACTGCTTCCAAGAAAAAGGCTTTTTCCGTAAGAGTTGATGACAAGAATTCACTAATTGAGCTCAAAAACGAAAACTTTTTATTGAATCTGTAGAAGGGCTCCTGCCGTTTTTCTAATTCGGAGACATTTCTTCATCGGGTGTTTGAATTTATTTTTCCTTTTCGGTTGTCTTTTTCTTCGCATCTTTTGTAAACGGATTCGACACGCTTAATTCCATCGCCATTTCTTCGAAATACTTAAAATTTTCTCGTTAATCTATGCGAAACTTGCAGAGAGCTTCGTAAAGATCGAATTAACGATAGAAACCTGAATTTGAACATTCACTTTAACATCCCACACAACAATCATAATACATACATAAACAGTCACGCTTGTCACCCAGAGGGGTAGGCAGAGACTACAGACTTCCATTTAGCACGATCGTGACATACCTCTCTCGTCTCTTCCATATCCATATACCTACGCATACATGCTCGTCGGTTAAGGGTACTGTTAATTTGGCCCATTTTTAATATATCGCCAATTTGATCGACAAACTTTCGCCTAGGACGTCCCTTTCCGACTCTTCCATTCACTTCTGCAACATATATTTGCTTTGTCAGTCTTTCTTCATTCATTCTTTCTACGTGTCCAAACCATCGAAGCATTCCTTTCTTAATCTTGGTCACCGCATCATGTTGAAATTCACACTCTTCTTTTATCACACAATTTCTCACCCTATGAATGAATGATAAGATATGAATCTGAGTGTTCAGCCCTAACATACTCCTAAGCGACCGCATTTCTACTGCATTTATTCTACTCTCGTGCTTCTTCTGCCAGACCCAACTTTCACTACCATACGTTAAAGTAGGGACTAACCTAGGGTGCCTTTTTTGACACATTCTTACTTTTCACAATTGAGTGTAGAGCCCCATTTACTTTATTTCCTGCATTAACTTGTCGTTCTATATCCTTATCATATCTCCGATCCCTGCTGAATACACATCCCAAATATACTAATTCATCTACTTGCTAGACAATCTCCCCTTCTATTCTTATTTCACATAACTATGTTCTTTGGACGGACGAGGCAACATTCACGAGGTCAGGACTTTCAAATATGCATAACGATCACGTTTGCGCTCGCGTGAATCCACATGCTACACGGCAGGGCAGATTCCAACACCAGTGGCGGCTGAATGTGCCGGCTGGCCTTTATGACGGGCACGTCATCGGTCCCGTCATTATGCCATCGCGTCTGAACGGTAGCAACTATCTAACGTTTTTACAATCGGAATTCGAAGAGGCGATTAACGACTTTCCTGTGGCTGACTGGGATTACTTTGAGAACCAAAGAAACATGGTGTTTCAGCATGTTGGAGCTCCGGCACATTTTGCTCGCAACGTACGAGAACATCGTAACGTTCGCTTTCCGCGAGGATGAATCGGCCGCGGAGGACCGGTGCTATGATCTGCTCGTTCTGCGGACCTCACACCCTTGGACAACTTTTTGTGGGGTTATGTGAAAAACAGAGCGTGTTTCTCTGATTGCCCAACGGTTACCGAGATGGAACAGCGTGTTAGATCTGTTTCCGCATCAATAACATCGACGATGGTGCGAAATGCCACACAAGCCATATCCCGATGAGCAAAGTTGTGTATTGAGCAAGGCGAAGCACACTTTGAGCCGTTTCTGTAAATTTGACGTTTATTATGAAAAAGTAAGTTTCGTTTAGGTTGTTTCGTTAGGTTAGGTCCTTTAAAATTTTTATAGTTTCTATCTGATGTGCAAACCCTATTTCAGTAAAATTAAAGAGTAGTTTACTCTTTAATTTTACTGAAATAGGGTTTGCACATCAGTGAAAATAATAATATTTTTTTGTTATTTTGGGGTATGTTATATAGCGTTACATAATAAAGATAATATTCTTAAATATTGTAAAGGGACTCGTTATAAGGCCACATTTAACCTCCTTTCGGCTTTTACGGGTAGTTTTGTAACACCCGGTTTCGGTTTAAATAGTCTTTAGACTTAAATAATCTTACTCCTTCTTCGGCAGACATGGAAGACTAAAAACTAATTTGCACACATGTATCTTTTTTTTTTGTTAAAAATAAAGTATCCTAGGCTACCGAGCTAAGTTCGGCGATAGAAAAAAATAATTGTTTCAGGAACGAAATATCAATGAGTGCTTGCAATGCAATGCTTCTTTAACGCGATTGGCAACTTCATTGACCATAATAATGCTTCTTTAATGCGATCGATACTAGAATAATGCTAACATAATGCACCTGTAATCATTGAGTTATACAAGACTAGAGGAGCAAACCACATTGCCGCGCGTCGAACAAAGTGTAACCACTATCCAAATGCGACGACGTAGCTTTGAAATCATTAAAATTTTTAAGTAAACATATATCTGTCTCACTTACACAAGTCGCGGAAAACAATATCGTCCCTAAGATTAGATAAAGATAGACACACAAACATGCAGTGGCGGGTTGGTGTTGCATACTTTATGAAATTTTACCCAAAATGAGCAATATAAAGGAGTTTTTTTTTTAAAGTTGCAGTAAATTGTTTTTATTTTAAATTTGTATATTTTCTTATTAGATGAACAGAAGTAAGCATAAGTAATGAAATAAAATATGTTTTTATATATTATTTTTATTGTACTAATAAATCAAACAAAAAATAAAGCAAATAAAAAAAACAATTTTAGGTTTCTTAAGCGAGATCTGTGTTGAATATGCATAAGTTGTGAAATCATCACCAAGTTTTTGTCTCTTAAATTTAGTCTCATGACATTAGCTACAAAAACTTTGGTTATCAATAAATTTCGTTGATTTTCTTGTTTATAGAATTTCTAAACTACTTAACAACTTTAAAAAGTTTTTATATTTTTTTTGCAACAATACTGAGGATAGTTAATGAATTCAGGCGTGACTCTGCGGAAGTCTATTTGTAAGATAATATAAATGGTTTTAATCTGTAATACTAATCCGCTTAAATATTCATAATAGTCCATGCTCTCAAACTCCGCTATGAAGCATCAGTTTGTTATATAATTGCCTTTTGGATTCTTTTTTGTGTGTTTGAGTGTATAATTTACTTTCGTGGTACAATCTTATTTTTAAGTACTTATAAATAATGGCATTAATCAATAAAAGGGAATGATCAACTTGTATTGCATTGCGTGCTGCATCTTTAGGTACACTGCAAATTTATTAATATAATATAAAATAATAAAATATAATTAATAGACCATTCATGAATAAACTAAAATAAGAATAATTATTTTGTATAAAGGTTGAAACATAGTTTTTATTTTTAAGCAATCAATTTTACTTGTTTATTTTAAAACAAAATTAACTTATTCCATAAATTATACAGTCTCCCATTAATGTGGAAAAATCACAAAGGCGGAAAAGTGGCAACATTGAACCTAAATTGCAATATTCGATATTTTATTTAATTTTTTAGTGTTTTAAACGTTAATATGAATATATAAATTAAAACTTACGTATGGAAAGTGATTCCGCTTGATTTATTATGTTTTTGTGACCTTGAAACGCATTCTTTCACTACGCATTTACCCATTTTTTGTTGTGAATCGTTCGGTTTAACTCGGACGGCGTCACCTTGAACACTGAACCGACGTTCGCTGAGTATAAGGCTGTGGCCTTATGTGAAGTGACAACGCTTTGGCGCGGAAATTACTTATCTAGTGTAACATATAAATCAATGCCTGTAATGCAATTCAACAACTATTGTGAACCTATTTAGGATCCAAAGCCGTATAATTTGTGCCCAAATAAACATTACAGTAACCGTATAAACGTTTGTAATGCTACCATAGAATTAACTACAATGGAAAAACGATACAGAAATGCTATAAGTCGGCCCTTATACTGCTTTGATGTGTTACTTGGGAAGCGACAAATTACTATGTCAAAATACATAAAACATTCCCGTGACCTTTATGTACTATTCGAATAAAAAGACCATAGAAATTATAACGGCCAACGCGACAGGTTGTTTCCGTCTACAACAATTATCGCACAAGTATTCAATGTAGAGTTAATATAACTCTGTATCGGCTGTGAGAGTTGTGATATTAAAGCAAGTAATGTAACCTCAAAACAGTAGGAATTAACTGCAGGAAGAATAAAAATGTTAGCGTTTATTTACAATATTTAATATTATTCTGAAAAAGTTAAATTCTTGTTAAATGTACCAAATGTTTATTTTTATTTTGGTGATAACCTCCTTGATCATGGTTCAGGCAAAAAAATGTTCGAATGATTCACCGCAAATTGCTCCAGAATACCACCTCATTGGAAAATGCCAACGATCTAAGCTAAATGTAGCCGCAAAAGCCAATTACACCACGCTATCAAGCTGCAAGCAATTTGGTCTTGGTAAGCGGGCTCTGTCTCTAAACTTTAGCCCGCGGAACGCGAATGGCAGAAGATGGAAAACCTTGGAGTATACTTGTGAAGTTTTGCAGTGTGCTGAAACTAACACCGGTTTATCTCTAACTAAGGATTTTAGATACGACTACTACAGCATATTTGGAAATCCTTTGCGTAAGTAAATTCTTTAACTTTAACAGTCCATAACAGTGCACTTGTTATGGAATAAGGGTGACAAACGAGCACACAGTCCGCCGAATGGTAAGTGGATGCTGTGGCTCACATTTATTTTTAATCAAGAATCAAAATGCAGATGCATTGTCACCTCTGAGGACTCCAGTTCTCTACACTTACCGTACGAAATACTGCAGCATGAACTGCTATTACGCTGGTATTCTATGAAAGCATGGTCCTTCCCCGGTTGAGCCGACGTATTCGTGCTACAACCATAATATAACTGCAGCGTATATACTCTATTATACGTACTTTACTATATAAAGAACTTTATACTATATAAATAAGGAAGCTATTTGCCGTAACCTTTGACTAGAGAAAAAAGAAAGGACATGACATACCTACGAAAAAAAAGTGCATACTCCTAAACTGAATCTGGCACAAAGATGGCGACTTGACGTAGTGCTGCGCACTATACTTAATATCGATAATGTGGCGCTTATTTAGAAAAAGATTCTTTCGTGTGATTCGTCTCAAACACCCGTGTGTTCTTAGATAGTTTTTTTTTAAATCAATATGACGGATTTTTGTCGCCAAATTGTAAGTCTTTAACTTCTTTTTACTCAATCTATCGATATATATATTTGACGTTTGACGTTTGTTAAATGTCAGTATCGATTATAAAACGATGTCTTTTTTATATCAATATTTATCTTAGTTACAAAATGTTATCATAATAAAAGTATGCCTTATATTGGCTGCATAAGAGAACCCACTAATTTATATCATCTCATGGGAGTCGCAAGAGACAACGAAGGGAAACAGGAGATGGACACCGGCATCTTCCGGATAACAACTCAAAAGAACAAAAATACTTTGGCTGCCTACCTAACTAACAAGCCTGACCACTACGGCAGATATCCACCCAATAAGGCCAGGGGAAGGCCTATGTTCAGTTAAGTGATGGATTTTTATAAGATTGTATCTAATGGTGATCATAATAAGAAAACAAAAAGCAGTTTCAGATTGATTCCCTTCGTCAGGGATTGCCACCAGAATTTCATAATCGTATTGGAATAATCGATCACAAATTCCAAATACTAATCTCCTTGTCGCTGATCTGGGTATAGAGAGGCTGACTCCAGAATTTATTATACAAAACTAAAGTGATAAACAAATTTACAGGCCACCTGATGGTAAATGGCCACTGATATAAATAAAATATATTTGCAGTGTGGTGACGGTGTTTATCCATCGTATTGAGCAAAGTCCTACACAAAGTATAATTGTTACCCTCAATATTTTTCCATTTACTAACACAGCTACCGTAAACTCGACTTGCGTCCCCACCACGGGAATGTTCTACCTCATTACGCAAAGAATGAATTACACAGAGGCAGAAAAACTTTGTCAGAACAAAAGCAGTGTGTTGGCCGATGTAAGTACTGAACAGAGAACAGACACGCTGGCACAATTGCTGGCTGATGAAGGTGAAGATTCCGCGTACATCAGTCTTAAACGGAGTAACAGCAGCGATTTCTTTACTTCAAACGGTAAGTAGCATTGTTGGTCACAACAATAAAGAGACCGTTTGACCACAAACTTCATTCTTCTCAGCAATCTTTTGAATCCGTTACTAAAGAGCCTTTCTAAGAAGAATATGACAAATTAAATATCAAATAGCGTCATGCCTTTTATCTCCGAGGGAATAGACAGAGTCCAAAGATTTGCTACTACTCGGACCAGATTTAGCCAGAAGTATGGGTATTTTGGAAAAATATAAAAGAAGTGATAGTTGGCTAGCCCTTTGTTACAATCACAAACAATCACCCAATATCCCATTAGGCGCTTTTACGATATGCTAGGAGAGTAACATAGTCTCCTAGCATATTGTTTTGGTTATATGTCGCACATAAACATGGTCTACTCGTACCAAAACAACATGTGACAACTGAAATATATTTCTTCAACAAATTACCGACACATTGGTGAGTACAGAGTGATAGCTTTTCATGAGGTCATACGAATGCTAGTGCTAGCGGAAAGAAATCCAATGTAGTAGAACTCGTCGCGACCTGACGCTTCGTTACTTACGAATGCAAAATTGTTTTTTTCGTATAATTTATAATGAAAAACGAGAACACACTACCTGATGACGGATTAATGCTGTTGCCCAACCTACATCTGCATATATTTGTATCGATTGTGAATCGAAATGTAGATGCGTTGTCTGTTAATTTCTCTCCGGTTCTGAATTCACACATTCGTAACATGTGCATAACCTATCGATTTACAATTAATCAGTCGAGTCAAACAATTAGTGTTGTAGTCGGTAATGCAGTGCATTTAAGTGTATACGGCAAACGCATATAATAAGGACGATAGTGGTATCTATCAAGGAATAAAATATATTCATAGAGATAAAATACTTTTTAAATATTACTCGTAGCTTATTCTTAAATCATTCTTATAGGATCCTAAACACTTGTATGTCTCATTTAAAAATGCACGCGTCTATCTTCTATTTTATTAGATTTTGTAACATTTACTGCATCAAGTATCATAAAATCTCCATTTGTATACCCTTTCTATTGTTTTTTTAGTAGATAGTAATAGAATATATGCAGGATGAATACCTACCAAAATTACAAGCGGAGGCTCGGGAAATTTCCAGTTAGATAATCTCTACCAGCTAGTTCTGTCCTGTCTTAACGTCATTTATTTAGTCGTTCTGTTGTGTTTTACAGGTGACTCATTAGGGTGCACATCATATCGCGCCTGGGCACCCGGTCATCCCAAGCGAGGAGAAAAATTCGATTGTGTGGTTATAACAAAACATCGTACATGGCGGACAGTTCCATGTGATGAATCACTAGCCGCGCTATGCGAGCTGAAGCCGGATAAACCTAATCGAAAAATAAATCTATTCCCACATCTAAACAATTAAACACTAACGCTTATAAAATTATGTAAGGTATTAAGTTTTTTATTCCATACGTTAATAACCCTTCCTGAATATAAATTCTATTCAGAATCATTTTTAAAATACACTTAAAAAATGGTCAGTAGAACCTTATAAATATACGGAAAATTTGGCAGAAATCTTAGTTGCAGAAAGAAACGAAGAAGAAACGAAGAAACAAAACAATCTGCAATTCTTTAGATTAATTACTACGCCCATTTAAAATTTAGAATCTTTACAATTCCTACTGGTTGCGCGGAAAAATAATCGAGTACTCTAACATTTTGTTCGGTTGGTTATTGTTTGCCAGTGTCTCTTTCCGTCCTACTACGCATTCCATTGCACACGCACTGAAAGGGCGGGAAGCTAAATTATGTGGTGCGATTTTTGGTGCACACTGCCGCCGACCAGCCCTTCTTGCATCGTAGTCGAAGGGATCCGCTAGTTGTGTCCGCCGTGTCCGTGTCCTCTGTGGCAGTCGCGCCACAGAACAATCGAGAAGTAGCCGCCTCGCATAGTGCGAGTTATCGTCGTAGATTTTGGAATAGCGAGTGCATCGTCCAAGGCTGCCGAGTGCCACGTCGGCCACAAACAGTCCAGCGAATTGATCAAGCACAATAAGCAAAAGGCTCGACCCGGGAATCGAACCCGAGACCCCAATCGCCGAAAACATTTGTGGTCAATAGCGCACCACATTTTCTGTTTCTTACGAGCCGGATTAGAATCGGGCAATTGGCCACCATTTTCTGATTCCTTCGAGCGGGATTCGAGGAGACAGTCTGTGGTTCAACCACCTACTATATTTAAATTTGCGTTACCAATACTAATGTATCTATCGTAGTATCAAACACAAAATTGAGCTTATTCGGAAAATAAATCATTCGCATAAAACATATGATTAGTAGCTCCTGTATTCATAACAAAATTATGCTTTATTTGTATCGTGTAATTTTAAGTTACCCATGCTTTTTTTACTATGTGCGAGCAGCTATGCAGGTCTAGGGAAAGAGACCAGTACTTAAAAGTGCTTTGCTGTTATTCTTTATTCTGTTTTTGTTATACCGGCATAATGTTCCAATCTATCGGAATAAAAACACAGACGAGCTTCTAAAATTTTATATACTATTTTTTTCTTTGGATGAAATAGCTGCTGCTTGATTATTTATTTTCTCTAATACATCCTGAATAATTTCACTTCTTAATTCTTCAGTTTTTAACTGAGGAAAGAAATTGTAAAAAAAAGTGTTATCAGTTTCTTGTGTATATCCCCACGCTGATATAAAGTGTTTAAACTTCTCTAAAAGACATCATAGTTTCATCAAAAATCTTAGTGACAATCATGTCATCTTTAATATCATACCATCTCCTTTTTACTTTAGTTGGGCATATTATACCTACTCTGCTTTGGCCAGAATTGTGGAAACCTTCATTTTTTTTTCTAATTTTAATTTAAAAACCTTTTCTTGTATCAAAATGTAGATTCGGCTGCGATTCTTGAATCGTAAATTGAAGAAAGCCTTTTTCGTACTTCTTTGGCAAAAACGCGGCATAAGATGTTAGAATTAAAGCTTTCGTGTACCTAATCATATTCTGCGCCCTTGTATCTTCAGATTCGTAAACTTTTTCTTTCTTTTTCTTTATCTTGACATGTAATTGTTTTTTCCAGTCCATTAGCTTTTAAATCTATTTTCTTTTCATGGAAGAGGAGGCAACCGAGCATACGGCTCACCTGATGGTAAGTGAAAATACACAGAGATGCAACATCGCTTCGCAAGGCCAGTAGATTAAGCCAATAGGAAAGAATTTGGCTGTCGACGATTCACGTTGCGTGGCTTGCTCCGTTAAATGCAATGTAGTGGAAGAAGTGCCGCGGCCTAGAGATGAGTACAGTATTTCAGGTGAAGTCGAATCTGTGCTTTTTAATCTGCAAGAGGTGGACCCGTGATTGAGTAGAGCAGCCTACACGACATAATATATATATATATATATATATATATATATATATATATATATATATATATATATATATACACAGAAATGTCAAATACTAAAAAAAAAATTGGACGTCATTTTTCTTCCAATCTTGTTGTATTGAATATTTACGTAGTTCCGCTAATTTTCGTTGCAAAAATAAGAGCGCTGCTGTCGATTTTTGAATACTTTCATTTATGGCCGTATTTGACTTCCGCACAAAATTAGAAGATGCGACGTTGCCGTTCCGTTGCCAACGTGTTACTTGTATTTGGTGATATATGATTATGACTACTTCGTTGGTCTAGCGGTTGCAGTAGTGCGACTGCCGATCGTGAGTTCGTGAGGTCCTGGGTTCGCATTCCGGGTCGGCAAAAAAATCAATTATTGAGTTTTTCTGTCAAGAAATTATCAATAGCTGCCCGGAGTCAGGAAGTTGGCGGTGTATCACCCCTTCCCTCGGAAAGCACGTAAAGCCGTTGGTCCTGCGCCTGATCTCTCTCCGGTCGTGTCGGTTTACCGTCCCATCGGATTATGAGAGTGAGGGAATAGAGAGTGCACCTGTGGTTTCGCATACACTTGGGCACTATAATCCTGTCCTACGCCGATGGCTAGTCTCCATTGAGGCAGACCGCCGTGACCGTAATTCGGTCTGCAGGACATTATTATATGGTTTATACTGCGCTTGGTACTAGTAATTTTACTTTTAAACTTGTTTTCTTAACCTTACGTTTTCCTACACATAATATGGACGTCCGAATATCCTAAAACTTTCATACTGAATGATATTTGACACCCGTATTTTTAAGCTATTGCATAGCTTCTATCGCGGGCCTTGAGCGCGGGGACCGAATCCAGAAATTCCGTAACGAAAAAACCTCACGCTCCCCACTCCGACGGGCACGGAGGTGTGGCGTTGAAAGCCGTGCATCGTCTAACGTCGTTTCAGTTCGGCAGACTTCGGCACTCGGCAGAGTTCGGCACGGTGTTTGGGTGCGTGCGACTAGATGTATGCGTGTACAGTAGCTGATAACTCAATGAGAAAAATTCCTGAATAACCTACATGTATTGTAAGATATTAAAAATATTTTAAACAATATTAACTTCTCATTAATTCAATAAGAGAAAAAAAATGTTTTCTTATCGGTCACCATGCTCAAAAAGTGTAACTTGATTTAATATCAAAGACTTAACTGCATAAATAAAATAAATAAATAATTATAATTGCATAAGTTGATAAAAAATGCTATGCAATAGCTTTACCGCGGCAGTCACCGAGTGCCACACGTATTTTTTTTTTGAATTTAGTTATATTTTTATAAATGAAGATGCGGACGTCGGCTTATCGGTTTATTTTATGCTGCACTATATTTTAACATTTTACATTTGGTACTTTGTAAGCAACCCATAATTCTGTTTGAGTATAAGTTACCTTCAGATGGAGTACAGGAAGATGGACTCAATTGTAGATATTGACAGGTTTCATAGAAATTTGTTTTATTATATTGTGACCTCTGACCAATAACCTAATCTGGTTTGGCGAAGAAACTCATTTTAATGTAAGGTTTTACTGCATTAATTGCCAATAGGTTGTTAATTTCTACAATAGACCGTGGCAAATTGTTGCTGACATGAATAACTCCGAAAATATAATTTATTTACTTGATCGTGTTGAGTTTTGATGCTCTCACTGCATCTTAGGGATGAGTGCGACTATTGTACCTAATGTGTACGAAATTACTCTCTAATTAACTAGATTCATTTTTGTGAAAGGCTATTTTTGTTAAAGTATGACATTATGTTTGGTTTTGCAGTTAGTGGAAATATAATTTAATTTTTCACACACGTTTTCTAAGCTTCTAAGCGTTTTATCATTTCTAGAATGAAACATTTTATAAAACACCAAAGTGACTATTTTACACCGTACGGCATCCCTACACTAAAATACGAATAAAACAATAGCGAAAATGTCATTAAAGCAATAATCATTAATGTATGTTTAATACACAAGAAATTAAAATATAAATATATTCATAGTTATATGGACGTCAAATATCGTGCGGTATTAAACTTTACCGATAATCTGACGTCCACATATAGAAATAAAACAAAATTCAAAAATATGGACGTCAAACATTATTCAGTATGAACGTTTTAGAATATTCGGACGTCCATATTATTATATGTATACAGGTAGTAATTTAAAGTTAAAATTTTGGCGCATACAGTGCCCCAAAAACCGCTACAAACGGCAACATTTATCAAAAAAGAAATAAGAAAGGTTTTCTAAGCGTTTTACGTTTCGAGAATGGAGCATTTTATGAAACACCAAAGTGACTATTTATACCGCATGGGCTCCCTACACTAAAATAGAAATAAAACAATAGCGAAAAATGTCATTAAAGTAATGATCATTAATGTGTGTCTTACGCACAAGAAATTAAAATATAAATATATTCATGGTTATATGGACGTCAAATATCGCGCGGTATGAAACTTTACCGATAATCTGACGTCCACATATAGAAATATAACAAAATTCAAAAATATGGACGTCAAATAAAACTTAGTGTGAATATTTTAGGATATTCTTACGTCCGTATATGTGATCATAAAAGTAAACTCGCAGTGAGAGCACCAAAACTCAATACGATCAAGTAAATAAATTATATTTTCGGAGTTATTCATGTCAGCAACAATACGCCACGGTCTATTGTAGAAATTAACAACCCATTGGCAGTTAATGCAGTAAAACCTTATATTAAAATGAGTTTCTTCCCAAAGTCATATTAGGTTATTAGTCACAATATAAGAAAATGAACTTCTATTAAACCTGTCAATATCTACAATTAGTACTTATTTACAATAGTAAAATAAATAATAATATAGTCAATCTATAATGTATCACGGCTGGGCAATCCTAGATATTTTTTCGTATTTAGTAAACGAATAACTAGTTGGTAAATTAATCATGATATCTATCTGTTTTTTTTTCGCCGGAAACAAAAATGATA